TACTGACACTGACGGATCTAAAGGGCACAATCAGACAGCAGCATCTGGGAAGCATCCTGCAGTCGTCGGCAACCTGTGCTGCTCCACCACAGAAGCAGAGTTAAAAGACACTGGGAAAAGTCCAGCTCTAATGGGTTAAAATGGGCCACGGACGGGATTCCCCATCTGATCACACAAGCATGTTGTAATGCCCCTAGTATGGTCTGATAATTCCATCCCGGCTCAGTGCCATTTTTTTACCCCTCTTCACAGTATGTGCATCATCACATATTCCATAGGGGGCCATCAGTACATATTCCAGTAGTGGGCCCAAAACCTGTTCAAGGCAGCTTACAAAATACAAGATAAAAGAATAAAACATAAATTCAATCCACTAAAAACCAATAGCCCAAAACTGCATAAAACTCCGGTGTATAAGAGCTCAAAACTGTCTGATAGTCACTGTAGATAGGGAAGGGATATGTAGGATTACTTTAAAGCAAGCACAGGAACAAGAGTCTGTAGTAGTCTGGTCAATGGGGCACTAAAACATTTCCATAGACTTCTGCTTACTCTGCTTACGAATGTAGTCTGAGTAAAAGTTCAAAAATCAGGCACTCCTTCCATTTCTTGCATAGGCTGCCAAGTGCCCTGTAGTTTAAAAAGGTTATCCTTTTTTGAAGAAATCACAGTCCCATAAAAATTAATGGATGCCCTGATTGCTCCGCTTCAGACTTCCAGAGAGCAAAATGGATGTCATTTGTTTTAGATGTCACAGCTCTAATGTACCCTTTATTTTGAGATCTTGCTCTGATAACTGTTCCCCTCTCACTGCTGCAATGGAAGGAATACAGCATTTCCTGACATCCAGTACATGCCATCAGCTAGGTAACCTATATCAACTTGCACTTAACAGGCAGCACTGTAGTTAAATGTTTGAGCTGTGATCTGGCTCAGACTTCAGGAGTAAGCTTACCTGGGGATCCCGGCTGCAGTTTTGTTGAGCTTATTGGTGGTGTACTATTGATGAACTTGGTGAATAGTGCTTGACAAAATGGAACAAACGGCAACATATATCCCCTTCAAGCTTTTCTATTGTACATTGACAAAAAATCTCTGCAATTATGATGCAACATCTTTTCTTTTTTCTATAAACATCCCCACACACACAAATGTAATAAGTATGCTTTACTGGATATGTGTCATTTGATTTATACTTTTATTTAAACTCATCCCAAATAAGAAGTTGTTGTTTCTGCTACTACTAGGAGAATCAGATTGGTAGAAGATATTTTTCAGCACTTTTGGACCTTGTATCTGTCTCTATAGAGGTTAATTAATTCAAATAGTTTATCATGCAGGAGTTTCAAGCAGCCTAAGTTTGTTCCTGCAGATCTGCTCCCATAATAAGTGAGTGCAGGAGAGGGAATTGTTATAAATGGACCAGATTGTCCTGTAGGTCAGTCACTAAATAGTATTTAATAGAAGTAAATTTCAATTAAGCAGGCAGCTCTGAATTAATGTACTATCAAATCAGCTGCAATATGCAAATGACTATAAAGTGTAGTTGCCCTCCATCCTCTGGAGTCTGAAAACTTAAATTCATTACACATCTGTACATATAATACTTTTGCTTTAATGTCTGTCCCCAAAAAAACCTGAGAATTTTTAGTTTAATTTAAAAAAATCCTATAAAGTAGAAAAGAGCAGAGTCCAGTAGCACCTTAAAGACTAACAAAATTTGTGGCAGGGTGTGAGCTTATCCTAATTAGGGGTATGCATGATTCAGCTAAATCAAGCCAAAAAAATTAACCCCAAAATAACATACTGGATTTTTTCCAGATATTTTTTCAGCCAGTTAGTGACCTAAAAATGGCCACCCTGAAAAATCCTGAAAATATTTGGGAGTTTTGGGGGCTGCCAGATAGCCACAGTTACAGTTCACTTTGGAGTTCACTTGCTGCACTGCGGCTTGGAGAAGCCATTTAAAGGAACTGTGTGCCTTTAAAATTCCCTTTCTCCTTTTTCTCCATTGGAAACAATGGGGGATGGGGGTACCTTCTTCTGGGGCCTATAGAATTGGACCCCCTAGTCCAATCTTTTTGAAACTTTGGGGTGTGTGTGTTAAGGAGAGGCACCAGCAGCTATGCTACAAATTTTGCACCTCAAAAAATTGTGCCCCCCAGACCCCTATTATAGGCCATGGAGATATTTGACTATAATGGTCCCATAGGATATAATGGAGCAATCTCCCAACAAGGCATTTAAAGTTTAAATGCCTTTGGAGTTCACTTGCTGACTTAAATGCCTTCAGAGTGAACTCTGAAGGCATTTAGGTTGGCAAGTGAACTCTCAGCAAGGCATTTAAACTTTAAATGCCTTTGGAATTCACTTGCCATGGCACCATGGTTTGGAGAAGACATTTAAAGGGACCACATCTCTTTAAATGCCTTTCCCCCCTCCACTGGAAATAATTGAGGATGGGATGGAGGCACCTTCTTCTGGGCCCATAGAATTAGACCCTCTGGTCCAATCTTTTTGGCTGTTATTTTGAGGAGAGGCACCAGCAGCTACACTACAAATTTGGTGCCTCTACCCCAAAGAACACCCCCCAGAGCCCCAGATACCTCCTGATCAATTCTCTATTATAGCCTATGGGGACCATTGACTTTAATGGTCCCCATAAAGTACAAGGGAGCCAAAAGAAATTGGCAGTCCCAAATATTTCCTGAATCCCAATACCATACCAATACTGGGATTCAGGAATATTGGGAAATACTGATATATCAGTATACCCGAAAAATTCTGTGTGTTTGTGCATACATCTAATCCTATGTCAGTCTCCACATGCTATGGTTCCCAGGGCTCCTTGGAAACTGAAGCTGCAAGTACATAGCATAGAACCTGTTGTGTACACTACACAATAGAACCAATTCCAGTATAGCTGATTTAGCTCACTATTACATGATTCCCTACCTTTATTAGAGACTACATCTCAGAACCACTTTACATACAGCTGCAAATGGGGTCAGTGGGAAACATGCACAGCATATACCAAAACATGTTCAGATCTATTTCAGTGGGCATACTGTATATATTAAAAGCTGTTTTCTACCTGCTAGTTATTTACTGTGCGATAATCTGCCCTGCATTTATTGACAAGTGAGCAGTATATTTGACCTTAGTACAACATAATTTTCTGCATTACATTATCAGAAGGTAAGATGAATCTCATTTGCAGTATTGAAATTGTGGGTTATCTGCTACATGGTGCCTTGATGTTCTTATATGTATACTATTTAGGGAGGGGAAAATGTGGTTTGGATCATGTTTCTTATTTCCAGTTGCTGCCCTTTTTGTCTATCGTTGAGCAAGTTAGCAGTGTTCACTTCAAAACTCTCTTTTTACATTCAGGTATTTTTTTTCTTTCAAGGGATGAGTCTCAGTATGCCAAAATTTCAGGAAATTTGAAACCATTTTGATACCTTCTTTTCAGGCACAGTTTTCAGTTCAGAAATTTTGGCACCCCAAAATCATGTCCTTTTAAAAAGACCTGAAATTAAAAAGAAAAAAATGAGAACCATTTCTCTCCCATTCTGCCCAAGGCAGCAGAAGATGGAGAGAGAGGAAGAGCACCCTCGTGAACAGTAATTTGGTGGCACAGTAATTTGGTGGCACAGTAATTTGGAGGACCGTCATTTTCTGGGGGAAGACCTGGCCACCAAACCAAGTCCTATAAAGAGTACATGTGCCTCCAAACAGCTGGAAGGTGCTGTAAATAATGGGCAATAGACCTGGTCTCTGGAGGTCTGTAAAGGTAAAGGTTCCCTTGCTCAAAAGCCAGTCGAATCTGACTCTAGGGTTGTGGTGCTCATCTCCATTTCCAAGCCGAAGAGCCAGCGCTGTCCGAAGTCGACGTTTCCGTGGTCATGTGGCCGGCATGATTAAACACCAAGGTGCACGGAACGCTGTTACCTTCCCACCGAAGTGGTACCTATTTATCTACTTGCAATTTCTTGCTTTCGAACTGCTAGGTTGGCAGGAGCTTGAACTAGAGACGGGAGCTCACTCCGTCATGCGGCGCACTCGGGTCTCGAACGGCTGAACTACTGAGCTTCCACAGCCTGCAGTTCAGCGTCTTAACCACTTGAGCCACCGCAGCTCTGGAGTTCTACTGCCCATTATTTTCAGTGGGTCATAGACCTGCCATTCAAGGTCTAGGGACGAAGTCTACCTCCCATTGAAAATAATACCCCTTTAAATTTTAAAGATACATTATTTTTAATGCTGCTGTGGACATTCAAAATAATATTTGGACCTTAGGGTCAAAGCAGCACACTATTATATCCAATGGAACAAAAACCATCAACTTCCCCCCCCCCCCAGTCCCATGCATCTGCTCTGCCACAGCATCATTACTCCGAGATAAACATAGGTTTGCTTTGCTAAATAAGGATGTTCTCTAAGAACATCAGTGAGGTACCTGCATCTTTTAGCATTATTTGATTGTGTCTGAGCAACTAGAATAACTTTGTATATTAATCTTGCTTTACGGAAAGAATCCCAGGTGCTACCCTTCTGTGCCCTTTCTTTGGCAGCACCTAAGAATAATTTTATTTGAGATGATTTTTCTTTGTGTGAATTAAAGCCTCAGAGAAGTAATATTGCATCTTCAAAACAAAGTGCTGAGCTCACCTTCTTTTTCAAAGTGCATGCAAATTTTCCCTTCTGGATTTTGAGGGCCCTAGAATGCCTGCCTTGCACAAACCTGGAGTTGCTAAGAGAGCCATTTGAGACCAGTCTTCATGGGAAATTCTTGTGTGTGTGTTTCAAAATGTATATAATAGACTTCTATTATGATTCATTGCTATATAAAATAGTCAAACAGAAGAGCAATACAGTAGCAAACCACAGGATATAGTTTTGTATAGCAGGTATTTTTGAAATGCTCTACAATGCATGCATGGTCTTCCAATTGTCTGGGTTTATCCTGCAGCTTAATGTATACCTTTATGTTTCAGATGTCTCAGGAACAGTACGCACATAGGAGCACCATGCAAAGCTCAGAAGGACCACATGTGTACAAAGTGGGGATTTATGGCTGGCGGAAGAGGTGCCTCTATTTCTTTGTGCTTCTCCTAATGATTTTAATTCTGGTGAACCTTGCCATGACCATCTGGATTCTCAAAGTTATGAACTTCACAATTGTAAGTATAGGATACCAAGGCTACCTGTATTTTGGCTGGGGTAGGGGACATCAGCGGGCATTTGTTCAGGCTTTATTGTAAATATTTGCAGCCCCCAAGTATGCAACATAGTAAGCCCGTTGTGTATCATTCAAAATTACTTCATGAAAAATAGGGGGAAGTGTTGTTTTCTTTTGGTATATAGATGTTTGCTTATTACTTCTTTCACCACTCAGAATCCCAGTTACCGGCACAATGAAAGAGCAGCAGTGTAGTCCTAAGCAGAGATGTACCTTTCTGAGCCAGTTTATGTCAGCCGAGTTATAAGCATGCAACTCTGCTTAGGATGGCACTGTAACTTTCATTGTGTTGTAGCTGAAATTTAGATTTTCTTGGTCCATATGGAAAAATTCATCTCCATTGTAATGGGATCTAAGATCAGCCTAACACATACAATAAGGATAGTGTAAATCAACAACAGTGTCCTGCAAGTATTTTTGCAAGTCAGAATTTAATCTGAAAGCAGAAGAAATAAGGTTATTTGTTTAGATAAGGAAGTATACTTTCTGTATCTAATAGAAGAGAATACATTGCACAGAGGCAGTATTATTCCCCTTATACCTTGTCAGTGTTTTTAAAATCTATTCTACATGCCATTCCACTTTACATAAAACAATAATCATGTCATATTGTGAAACTTCTTCAGGACCAAAAAGTGCTAGGAAATATGAACCTACAAGAAATGTGTAAAAGCAACTTACATTGGATAGTTTACGGGCAGGATTTTCTTTTTTAAATCTTGTAATAGATTCATAAATAGCTGTATTATATTGCACCCTCTCCCTTTCCTTTCCTTTCCCTTTCTTCTCCTGAAAGCCAGATCTAACCTAGCTTTCTTGTTGTGCAAGCCCCCTTAGGAGATTGTTTAAATAATAAATCATACTTTATTCTTGTCTAAGGGGTAAAACCACTGTAAACTACTATAACACAGAATGAACATCTAGACTGAGTAATCAACATTGTGCAATGAAATAGACATACAGTGTTGTAACCAACTTTTGCTAAATTGTATTTTGGGTCAAATAAATAACTATACTCTTAAGAGTAAACTGTGTTGTTAAGCCAAATTCTTCAGACTTTTCCAGGTGATTTTATTTCTCTACAATACTTACATGATCATCATAAGACTTGTATTTTTCCTAGTACTCTACTTTGGTCTTTAGCAGTTGAGGAAAAATATTTTTGCTCTTTCTCTCAACCCAGTAAATATGTAAAGTGTATATATGGATCACAACCCATAGGATTGTTCCAGTACTGTGTGATATTCCCCCCTCCCCAAGCCCATGGCAATCCCATACATATGATCATCTAGATATTAAAACTTGCACAATAGCCTGTTTGGCTCCACCATGGCTGTGATTTGGGGATCTGCAAGAGTGTGACACCATGTTCTTGGCTTCAAGGTACTTTGACTGTTTCGATGGGTTGAAAGGCTCACCAGCTCTTGTGCTATGCTCCATGGCTACTGTCGCTCACACAAGGCTCAGAGGTGCTCCAAAACTCAGCTTCTTTCATTTGGCAAGAAGATGGGACCTCAGAGTTAAGAATAATAAATATTTTAGAACAACGGTAGTTATTATTGTTGGACTTTAAATAGGTTTGCATTCTGCCATGTGATATTTTGGGGGAGGCTTGGTTTAGAAATGCTTTAAGTCGAAGATGCCCTGCTTTTCCTGAGCAGAGAAGCATCATCTTCATTAGGAAAGTATTTTTTTCTGAGATTAAAATAATACTATGAGCAAACTTGCTGGTGTAGACCAGGGATCATTTCGTAGAAAAAGAGCTGCAAGAGCTCATTAGCATACCTAATAAGCTATTAGCATAATAGCTCAGCATATGCCATACCCCCTGACATCACTGGAAGTGGCGTCAGAAGGGGAAGCAAAAAGTGGGGGTAGGCATCTTCAAAAGCCTCCGCTTCCCTTCCCCAGCTGCGGTGGGATTCCTTCTCTCTTTGCTTCCCCCCCCCTCAGCCCGCCTTGGCAGGCAGGCTGGGGAAGGGGCAAGGTTAGTCCCAGGTTTTTCTGCACACTAGGCAAGGCTACCTTCTGGTCCCCCCCCCCCGGTGCACTCACCAATTTTCAAACATAAATGCACTGTAGGAAGAATGAAAAACACAAAATTTGAAATTGCTAATTTCTTTCTTTCTTTTTCTTTTTTTGGTGAGCGAGCGATCTGGCTACTGCATAAATTAGTTTGCTCTGGAGCCGTCCTTCCTGAGCTAAGACAAAAATCTGTGAGTTGGAGGCTAAAAAACTGTGAGCTAGATCACACTAACTCAGCTTAGAGGGAATACTGCTGGCAACCCTATAACATAATGAACCTGAGGCCAGAAAAAGCTTCTTCTGCACTTACTTGTATAGCAGGAATTGATTTTTTATTTTTTTGCTATCTGATATATTTCAGGCTTTGTTGTTTTTGCCCCTCCCAGTACTGAAGAAAGTTTTAAGTTTTACTGAGACAATGCTCATCAACAAAATTCCAGGAGAGGACTTTTGCTGGCTTTTGCCTTTTTAATCAAGTGTTTCTTGCTTCTTGGAAGCCTCGGATGCTTTAAGGAGTGGCTCAGCTTTTCAGACCTAGAAGCAGTTATATTTAGTTCATCTTTTGAAATATCAGGCTTCAGAAATTCCAGGTTAGCCCATAGTTTAGACAAATGGATTTTAGCATTTTCTTTATCCACTGATGAAAGCAGCAAGTTATATCTTGGGTCAATATAAGTGCAGGATCTTCATTGAGATTACTAATATTTTAGCAAAAGATGAATGTTGATGTGTCAAGTTGCCACCTTGGCTGAGACTGAAAAAAAGTCATCTATTGTAAGTTTCTGATTGAAATACATTTGGTGATAGATTGACCGGCACGGAGGAGCACAGGCACAGCTGGGCGAGTGGAGTAGCAGCCTCAGCCTGCAGGGCTTTTGGCGGGTTGAGGGGGGGTTGGGGGGGGCAGGCAATGCATAGGACAGACCCTCGAGGGGGCCTTCCTGAGAGAGGATGGTCTTTTTTACCTGCACCAAAATTCAAGTCAAGTAAAGGAAGGTGACGAGGGAGTTGCTTTGAGGACGTGGCTGGGGAAGGCAAGGAAGTGCCGTGCCTGCCCGCCTGCTCCCCCTGGAGAGAAGCTCGCCAAGTGATGCTCCCTGCTGCCCCCCCGATGGTGAAGGGGCGGAGACTTGAAGAGAACAGCATGGGAGTTCAGGAGACGAGGGCCCCCCTGTCCCTACTAGCTTTCTCCACCTCTCTCGGCTGAAAAGACACACCGGGGCAGGCTCGCCCAAGAGAACACTCCCCCACATGCCTGTGAAGTCAGGGCATTTTGGGCAGATTTTCTAGGGCCAATGTTCTTTGGACGGCCGGAAAGAGAGACAAAGCGCCCGCGAGCTGACTCCTTCCTCCCAGTTCCCAGGGGTCTGGCCCTGGGAAGGGGAGCCTTTTGAAGATGCCCCCCTTTTTACTTCCCCAGCTGGCCTGCCAAGGTGGGCTGGGGGGGAGTGAAGAGAGAAATGGATTTTCTCTGGAGTCGCGCTGCCATAGAATACAATGGAGAGATTGTGCCACTACTGTGGCACAACTCTAGACAGAAGGAGCTTGTGGGTGTGGAGCTGGGGGCGGGGCTTGCTGCCACCGCCATTTGTGCCCACTCCTGGGCTCCCAGAGCAGCGCTCTAGTGCACTCCGGCCCCAAATGACCCCTGGTGTAGATAAGGGGTAGGGAATACTGAAATGGTTGAGCTTGAAAGCATGCAGGACTTTCAGTATGTTTCACTTTTCCTTAAATAATTGTGTGTGGCTTTTAGCTTGGCAGGAAGTTTAGAATTGTGAAACTGAGCATAAAATTACAACAAAGTTTGAGCCAAGTAGCATCTTTAAGACCAACAAAGTTTTATTCACAGTATAAGTTTCTGTGGAATTCAGTGCTGGGAAACAGACACGGGGCAGGGAGAAGTTTGTGACTCTGTATCTGAACCATATTATTAAACTAGGAGTAATGCCTGTTGTGGGAAGAAATACAACAAGCTCTAGAAACAGGCTCCAGGTGAGTGTCCTGGCTGTGGGGCGGTGGAGGGAAGGGGGAAATAGAGGGAGGCGAGCCACGTTTATTTCCCTCTGCTTAGCTGTGAGGCAGGGCTGTCTCAAGTCATTTTGCTGCCCTAAGTGGGTAGTGTGGGAGGACAGCCTCATGGTAACAGGTATGGTTCCCTCCACCCCTGACTTATGTTGATTTTGGTTATGCAGCGGCAGCTAAGGTAGAAAAGCACTTCCTCCTATGCCATGTCTTCCTGGTTCCAAGGGTCTGGAAAACGATTCCATAGCCAGTTACAGGGTTGCCAACTCTAGGTTGGGAAATACCTGTAGATTTGAGGGGCAGAGCCTGGGGAGGGCAGGGTTTGGGGTGTAGAGGGACCGCAGCAGGGTATAATTCCATAGAGTCCACTGCCCAAAGCAGATCTTGGTCATTTGGAGATCAGTTGTAATAGCTGGAGATCTCCAGGTGCTGCCTGGAGGCTGGCAATACTTAGGGGAAGGCCAGGTTTGTTGAAGGACTTCAATGAAGTATACTGCCATAGAGTTCACCCTACAAAGCAGCCATTTTCTCCATGGGGACTGATCTCTGTCATCTGGAGATCAGTTGTAATTCAGGGAGATGTCCAGGCCTTTCCTTTCCCCCCCAACCCCTGTTTAACAGTTTAACTGATTAACACTTCAACACTTCCTGCTAATGCCCCACGGCCTCTTGGGACTCCCAACTTGGGAGTTGTAGTTCTAATTTCCTTTCCTATGGTTGTAGTAAGCCCAGCTGAGAACTACAACTCCCAAGATGCAAAGCGTCAAAAGTGGGGGTGTATGAATGGAGGAGCTGGCGGGACAGGCCAATAGGACGCCAAGGCAGCTTCCCCAGTGGCCAATGGGAGAGCACTGCTTGGCTTTTATATATTATAGATGAGAATCATTTGGTGCT